CAAGGCCCCGGCTCGAGGCCTGCGCTCTGAGACATGGTGTCCTTCCAGTCCCGGGCCAGGCTGAGTGCCCCTGTGCCCCTCACTCGCTGTGTGACCTCAGCCAGGGCCAATGGGCTTCTGAGTCTCCGTGTTCCCACGAGCAGCTGGGTAACTGCTGAGATGCCCGAGGCGGCAGCTCCGGGGCTGACGGGTGAGGGATCTGAGGATCCTCTGTGACCTTAAACACCTGCTCATTCTTCTCCATGGACGGTGTGGAGGGAAGTGGGTGAGGGGCCAGGGAGGGACAAGGCCCTACTGTGTGCCCTTCTTGCTGCAAGCCCTGCTCCATGGGGGTGGAGACAGAGGCCTGAGGCTGGGGATGGGGAGGGGTGTGAATTCAGAACTGAAGGATTCAGGGCCCATGCTTTTCCCAGGTCACTGCACAGCTGGATGATTTTTACATTTTCCTATGTGCTTTTAGAATCAAGTTGAGCACCTTCTGTATCAGTTAATAGTGCCTCCCTCAGTTCCTGGCAGGTAGCAGGCGCTCAGCAGCTGCGTGATGATTGAGTGAATAAAAACCCCGAGGCTGCCTTTACAAAGACCCCATGGGCACACGCGCGCCGCTCACGCCGAGGAGCCCAGCCCCGCGTGGCCGGATGCACCAGGAAGGAAGTGGATGTGACGGGACGGTGGAGCCGGCCCAGGGTGCCCGGCCGGTGAGGGCCAGGGCCTCCAAGTGTGGGGACACTGGCCCCTTGTGGACTCTCTATGCACCCCCATACTCTCCCCAGGAAGCTTCCCTTATTTCCCCCCAGAAAACAAAGCGGGAGCCCAGCGGGGCGGTGGCTGGCACTTTGCCCACAGCTCGGGCGCGTGTTCGGGAGCTGAGGGAGCGTTTCTGGCATCCCAGCCACGTTGGGCGCAGCCTCTGGCGGGGCATCTTGGGAGGAAGAGCTCTGCTGAGGAGGCCTCCCCGGTGGCCCGGCTGCACACGGAGCCATCCTGAGGCTGAGCCGGGCAATGTTCCCCCCCAGAGGGTGCCTGTCTCCACTGCAGGCTCCGAGGGACACCTCGGGCAGCTGCGAGAAGCAAGCGACACTGGAAACGCAGCTGTTGCTATGAGGGGCAGGGGGGTGGGGCGGGGAGGGCCGAGGAGGACCCTGTGCCCTAATGAAGCTCAGGTTTGTTTTCTTGCCTGGGGGCAGGGCAGGGACTGGACTTCCTGCCAGGACCCCCTTTCTCAGCTGTTGGCAAACCACTGGCTCTGACTTGGGGAGGGGGGTCCTCCCTCTTGGCTGGCCGCCCCTGCAGGCGGAAGCTGCTGCTCTCTGACTGCAGGGCCAGCCCGTGCCAGGACCCAGCGTGGCCCTCCCCAGGTCTGCTGTGCTGCCCGCTGCCCGCTGCCCGCTGGGCTTCATCCTCCCCTGAGCAGGTCCTGTGCTCCTGGCCTCCATTGATGGGGGGTCAGGGCTGTTCTTAGACACGGTGTGAGGCGGCCTCAGGAGGGACATCATGGAGCCCTCCAGGCTCAGTTTCCTCATCTGTCACGGGGAGAGGGACCTCACAGGGCACATGTGAGACACGGATGAGAACTGTGGTGTGGCAGGTGATGTTAAGGCAAGGTGACCAGACGTCCCGCTTTTGGAGGGACAGTCCCGATTTTTAACGACTTGTCCCGCGTCCCACGATGTTTTAAAAGGCGATTCTCGGGACTGTTTTAAAATGCCGCAGGACGCAGGACAAATTGAAGGATGGCGAGTCCCATCTTGTTAGTCCTCTCCCTCTGCTTGTTCCTTCTGACGGAGCCGGCTGCCATGTCCTGAGCTGCCCCAAGGAGAGACCCCTGTGGCCGGGAACGGAGGGCGGCCCCTCGGGGGAGCTGAATCCAGCCAGCAGTCGGGGAGCACGCCTGGACCCACAGAGCCTGGGAATGGCAGCGGCCCAGGCCCACACCGTGATCCGGCCCGTGAGAGACCCAGTGCCGGGGCATCAGGCCCGTGAGAGAACCACACCCATGATCTGGCCTGTGAGAGGCCCAGCGCCGGGGGGCGGGGGGGCACCCGGCTGAGCCACATTGCCATTCCAGTCTCCGCAAACTGGGAGATAACGGTGCTGTTTTAAACCATGGAGCTTGGGGGTTGTTTGTTACAGTCAGGCAGAGGCCAGTTAGACATCTCTCTGTTTTCGCCTCCTGACCAGCTCGCTCAGCCAGCGCCCCAGGGCCCCACACTCGGGACTGCTGTGAGGACCCAGCTCTCCAGAGCGCCCCATGAGTCCTCTCTCTCTCCTTGCAGGCACCGCTAAGTACCAGGCCGACTTGCTGAACGCTAGTGATGGACACAGCCCAGAGGGCATCTGCCTGCTGGCCTTCCTATTGGGCCAAGCCGGGCCTCCCCTCCCCCAGTGAATTTCCACCTCCCCTTTGGTGAGAGATCCTGTTAGTCTCCTACAGTTACACCAGCTTCAACTCAAACACCGCACAGTCGAGGCAAATACACACACTGTGCTGTAGCCCATCCGGCCTCTGTAAGTTTGTACACAAACATCGAGGGAGCGGAATCCGGTTTGGCTCAGTGGATAGAGCGTTGGACTGCGGACTGAAGGGTCCGGGTTCGATTCCGGTCAAGGGCATGTACCTTGGTTGCGAGCACATCCCCAGTAGGAGGTGTGCAAGGGGCAGCTGATCGATGATTCTCTCTCATCGATGTTTCTCTCTATCCCTCTCTCTTCCTCTCTGTGAAAAAACAAAACGAAACAAAAAAACCTCACAAAACCATTGAGGGAATTCTTGAATTACAATAAGACAAGTCCTCAGGGGATGAGTCATTGTTGCTAAGAGCTGCGTGCATCTATTAATTCTTTTTTCAGAATAAAAATATCTTACTTTTGTCAAGTTTTAAAAATGTTAAAAAGAAAATCAAACCATGAACATATCCAGTGGCTAGCCACACCCTGGCCCTCTGAGCCCTCTGAGCATTATCATCTTTCAAACCTTGGCCAATTGATATGCTCACGTTTATTATTATTATTATTATTATTACTATTACTATTATTATTGTTATTAGAGGCTCAGTGTACGAAATTTGTGCACGGAGGGTCCCTAGACCTGGCCAGGGATCAGGGCAGATTGCGGCAGAGGAAAGGGGGCAGGGGAGTTCCTTTGCTCTGTGCGGCCCCCTGGTGGTCAGTGAAAGTCATAGCAAGCAATGAGCAATCAAATTCCCAGTCTCCCCATGGAACTCCACAGGGGACACTTTGCATATTAGGCTTTAAGATAGATTAATAATGCTGAGGATATTTTTCCATTGATTTTTTTAGGGGGAGTAGGAGAGAGGGAAAGACAGAGAGAAATCGCGATATGAGAGAAACACATCTGTTGGTTGCCTCTTGCACTCGCCCTGACCAGGGCCCAGGCCGGGGAGGAGCCTGCAACTATAGTATGTGCCCCTGACTGGAATCGAACCCGGTACCCTTCAGTCCGCAGGCCAGCGTCCTAGCCACTGAGCCAAACCGGCCAGCTAGGGTTCATTGTTATTTTAACCAGCATCTCTTCTACTGAGGCGGAGCTTTGCTGCACGCATTCATTGTTGATATATTTTCTTTTGTGAACTTAATATATATATATATTTATTTATTTATATTTATATTTACTTTTTCAATCCTCACCAGAGGACACGTTTAGAAAGAGAAGCATCGGCTGCCTTTTTGCACAGGCCCGTCAGGGACCGCAACTGTCACCCAGGCGTGCACCCCGACCAGGAGCTGAGCCAGCAACCCTCTGTAGCACAGGGTGATGCTCAATCAACCGAGCCTCTCTGGTGGGCTTTTGTGAACTTCTGGCTCATGTTCTTTGCCCCGTTCCTATCTATGGGAGAACTTTTCTGAGCTCGGGAGGCAGAATTTTGGCCCCACGACCTTCACCCACTGGCATCAGGCCTGTAGTTATGATAGCTTAGACGAAAAAGAGATTTTGCAGGGGTGTGTGGGTGGGGCAATGGGAAGTTATGTACACATGTAATACCTTAATAAAAGAATGGGGGGGCGGGAAGGATTTTGCAGATGTAATTAAAGTTACAAACCAGCTGACTTAAATACTAGAAGATGACTGGATTATCCGGGCCGCTCAGTGTAATCGCCTGAGCCCTTGAAAGCAAAGAGATGTGGCCGCAGGCAAAGCCAGACGGATCTCGGAAGGCGTTTTGAAGCCTCTCTTTCGGAGCATGAAAAGGACGCAATGCACTCGTGATGGTTTTGATGACGGAGGGGCCAGGAGAGAAGAGATGCAGTGAGTGGCCCCTAGGAGTGGGAATGTCCCCTGGCCAACCTTCAGCAGTGGGGACCTCAGTCCTAACCCCAAGGGCAGTAGATTCTGCCAGCTGCCTACTTGAGCCCGCCCCAGGCGCTGACACCTTGACTCAGGCCTTGCGAGGCCCTGGGATGAGCCCTTGGTGCTGCTGTACCTCTGACCTCCAGGAAGAGAGTTGCTTTAAGCCACGTGTGTGGTAATGGGTCCCAGCAGGAACAGAAAACACGCTCTTTCTACATCCACGCTGCAAACGCTTTCATACGTGTTGTAAATATCTTCTCAAGTGTGTCATTTGTCCTTTAAGCCTCACCCTCAAATAAATCCAGTCTTCCCAATTTCATTATCAGAGTCCCATGTTGGGAGATGTCCTTTGGGGTCACCCTCACAGACCCAACTCGCCTGCAAAACCCACCCCAGGCCCTGCCCCAGAGTTGCTGACCTAGAAGGTCTGGGAGGGCCAGGGCTTTGCATTTCTGACGCCGCAGGGCTGGCTGCAGGGCTGGGGCAGTGGGTGGTCCCATCCTGTGAAAGAACGCATTCCTTCAGGGCCTGGGAGGGTCCTCAGGGCCCCTCCCGGGTGCCGGGAAGCTGAGCCCCACTCTCCCTGGAAGCCCCGCCTCCACACTCAAGAACTCCGCTCCCATTGGCTGCCAGCGGAGGGATCCCCTACGTCACAGTGCTGTTCACTTTTCTCGAACTCCGGGGCGGGGGCTCTGCGCCTGCGCGGTGGAGCCCGGCGCTCTCCTTCGGAGCGTCTGCGAGGGTCCCGGCGGCGGCGCGGAGCCCCCATGGCGGAGTCGGAGCCCCTCCTGAGCCGGGCCCGCGGCAGCAATGGGCTCGACTGCCCGGTCGGCTCGCCCGATTGCGTCCAAGTCGGCCCTGGTGAGCGACGGCGGGGGCCGGGGCCGGGACCGGGTCCCGCGGGGGGTGCCGCGTGGGGGGCCCCGCGGTCGGCCGGCGCCGGGTCGCGGCTGTCACTGCGGGCGCGCCCCGCCCGGCCGCCGGGGTCCGAGCGCGCCCGGGCAGCGCGGGGCGCGGGGCCGGCCGTCTTCCGGGAGGCGGGGCGCCCCTGGCCCGGGCGCGGGGTTGGGGACGCCGGCGACGGGGAGGCGCTGCCCGCGGGGTCGTGCCTGCCCGGGACCTGCCGGGCGGGGAGCGCCACGCGAGCCCCGTGCAGCCCCCGCGCCGCCAGCCCAGCCCCCTGCAGCCCCCGCGGGGTGCCAGGTGCACCCGGACCGCGTCCTTCTCGTGGGTCGCCGTGGTGACTCCTAGGAGGCAGCAGATCCATTTCCGCCTGATCTTTATTGGGGAAACTGAGGCATACAGGGGAGAGGGGGAGCGCATTTCCCTACCCAAGGTCATCACCCAGCGAGGAAGTGGCCCAGGTGGGATTCCTCTGGCTCCACCTTCTCATTCTGCGTCCTACGAGGCTCCCCGGGGCTGGTCCCCTTCAGTTTGGGGGTTGGGGCAGGCCTCTCCCAACCTGGGCTGCTTCCTCCCCTTGCCCTGGCTCTCCCTCCCTCCTGGCCTTCCTGTTTACCCCACGGAGAGATTGCTGAATCCCCAGAAGGGAGGAGGGCTGGGAGGGCGGAGTCCACCCCCCCAGGGCTCAGCCTCACGTGACAGAGGAGGACATTGAGGCCCAGAGCGGCGGTGGGACCTGTCCAAGGTCACAGCCCGGGGATCTCATGCTGCTGCTGCTGCTAGCACCAGGCGGGGTGCTCCTTCCTGAGCCGCCGTCCCTCTCCTGGCCCACTCTCCTCTGTCCGGGAGGGGTCTGCAAGGTGAACCTGCCCATGGCACAGCGCTGGCTGGCTGATCTTGACGGGCGCGATGAGAAAACTAGAGGCTCTCAGGTGGTCGCTTGACCGCCCACCTCAGAGACTGTCCCGGAAAGTTCTCCATCCAGCCCGTGCCAGGCCTTGAAGGGCCGGGGACAGGGGCACGTGGAGGCACTCAGGGGGCATGGACCTGGTGCCTGGAGGTCTGGGGAGACCCACGAATGCCCACAGCACAGGGCCCGGGCAGCCTGGGAGCTGGTGCGGAGGCGCACGGTGACAGCGCAGGTCCCCGATGACAGTGGGGATGGGGGAAATGCTCTTTGTCCCGGCGCTGTGGCCTCAGCGAGGGCCTCTGAGAATGCCCAGGATCTCCCTGCCAGGCTACCTGCTGGCTCTGGGGACCCGGGGGCAGCGGGGGCTGAGAACGGCTCCTTCGGTCTCTGCCCAGCTTCTGCATGGGGCCTTGTGCTCGGTCGGGGGTGCATGTCCCAAAGCCGGATTCTCCTACCAGCAGGGGTGGGGGGGGCCCTTTGCCGTTGGGTGTCCCACTGACCCCAGTGAACCCCACGGTCGGTCCTTCTAACTGAGCCCCACCTCGTGGGCCAGGGCCACAGGGGGAGGATAGTGGCTTTCTCGTCTCCTTGCTCTTCCTGGGTGTGAAAAGGTCGGGGGACAAGGACTTGTGATGCTATAAAAGGGGCTTTTTAAGAATTAAAAGGTTTGGCCGAGACCGGTTTGGCTCAGTGGTAGAGCGTTGGTCTGCGGACTGAAGGGTCCCGGGTTCGATTCCGGTCAAGGGCATGTACCTTGGTTGCGGGCACATCCCCGTAGGGGGTGTGCAAGAGGCAGCTGGTCGATGTTATCTCTCATCGACGTTTCTAGCTCTCTAGCTCTCTCCCTTCCTCTCTGTAAAAAATCAGTAAAATATATATATATAAAAAAAAAAAAAAATAAGAATTAAAAGGTTTGATTCCCCGAGGGAGGGAGGGAGGGAGGGCGGAAGGCCCGGTGAGCTAAGGTGGCCACACCCAGAATTTTACAAAGCCGCAACCGAAAGCCGGCGATGCGATCGGGTTGGGCGAGCGTCGGATGGCTCCGGGGTGCCCCATGCTCTCGGCCTGTAATGGCCTGCCCGGGCCTGAGCCCGTCAGCTGCACCCGAGCCACGGGCCTGGCGCGAGCCTGGCCGACCACGCTTGTCTGTTATCTCAGAAGCCGTCTCCGTCCATCTCTCCAGGCCCAGACTCCATTTCTTCCCCAGGGGTTTGGTCACGGGGCAGGAACCGGAGCGCCTGGCACCTGGTGAAAAGCCAGTGTCCCTGTCCGGGCCCTGCCACGCACCGGGCAGCGCGTGGGCACGGCAGGTGAAGGCACCTTGACCCGGAGCCTGGAGGAAGCCCGCCGTGCCGCGGGGTGAGCATCCTGGGACCCCTCCCCGCCCAGCCTGTTCCTCTCCGCTCCAGGCGCCGAGGCCCGGCGGGACCTGTGCTTCGAGCAGGCGGTGATCTTCATTGAAGACGCGATCCAGGTGGGCGGCGCCCGCTCCCGGCGGCTGGGCCTGGGCTTCCCCGGGGGCTGTGGGGATTGGGCGATGGGTGCCCCCGCGGCCCTTGGCTCCTCGCTGTCTTGGGGTCAAAGCAGGAGTTGGTAGATTGTGTGGTCCACGTAACCCTCAAAGTGGGCGCCGGGGTTTCTTATTCCGAGTCCCCAGTCATTCGCTGGGTTGGTTTGCCGCCTTCTGCAGACCTGTTGTCTGCCGCCTTGTCCCAGATCCTGTGGAAGACGCCCAGAGATGGCAAGACCATTTGCAGCCTTCCATGTGCAAATGACACACAGGCCGGACAGGGAAATAGACCATGGAAGTGGGCAGTGCCCTATCTGTGGAACTGGGCTGCAGGCTTCCGGGGGTGACAGCTGATGTGGGGGCGGGGTGTGGTCCTCGCACACACATGGGCCCAGCTGTGCATTCAGGACACGAGTGTCCCTGCCTGGCCGGGGCCCTGCCTCTTGGGATGTGCCCTGTCTGCCGGGCACATCTCGCAGCCTGGCACCATGTGGCTTTGCTGGGTCACGGTGGGGCATCTTGCCCGCCGGCTGAGTTGAAGCTCACCCTGCGATTCACACCCTGTCCCCCCACCCTGGGCCCGCTGTGTTGTGTGGCACTGAGACTGGGGGGACCCTCACTGACGCGCCCCTCTGTGACCTCACTTCCAGTATCGCTCCATTAACCACCGCATGGACGCCAGGTCGATGTGGCTCTACCGGTGGTATTACTCGGACGCTTTCCAGTGGTGAGGATGCACATGAGTGGGGTTCGGGGTTCTCGAAGCCTGGCTTGGGCGGGGGCTGTCTCAGGGTCCAGGCGGGCGGGCCCCTGTCCCGCGCCCGGTGGGGAGGATGTCCTCTGCCCTCCTGGCTGGAGAGGAGTGGACGGTAGGCAGGAGGGCGAACACTCCGGTCAGCCCTGCTGATTGTTTCAACCCCATTGGGTTATCCGAGCACACGTGTAGCCAGAGCAGAGGCCGTGGTTCTGCTGGGGACCCTGGCGTCTGCCCTGCTGCCCTCTGGGTGTTCTGCCTGCCCCTCTGGTTTTTCGCCCGGCGTGTGGCTGGTTCTCACGTTTTAATCTTTGTTGTTGTTGTTCCCGCTCCAGGATTTTGGGCTTCATCATTTTCTTGGTCCTGTTTTTGGCTTTTATTGAGACCCCTTCCTCGTTCACCCGCACCTCGGACGTCCGCTACCGCTCCAAGCCCTGGAACCCGCCCTGCGGCCTGACGGAGAGCATCGAGGTGCTCTGCCTGCTGGGCTTCGCCACCGACCTCTCCGTGAAGGTGCGGAGCCGGGCCCTGCCCCTTCCCCGCCGCCAGCTGTTCTCCGGCTTACCTGTTCTTTTTATTCTCAGTTCTCACCCAGTGATGGTTTTTTTTTTTTTTAAATTGATTTGAGAGAGAGTCATTGGTGTGTCCATCCATCGGCTGCTTCCTGTGCCCACCTCCCAACCAGGGATCGAACGCGCAGCCTTTCGGTGTACAGGACATTTCACCGGGCCAGGGCTCTGACTTATTTCTTTTTAAAATATATTTTATTGATTTTTTTACAGAGAGGAAGGGAGACAGAGAGCTAGAAACGTCGATGAGAGAGAAACATCGACCAGCTGCCCCTTGCACACCCCCCACCGGGGATGTGCCCGCAACCAACGCACATGCCCCTGACGGGAATCGAACCTGGGACCTTTCAGTCCGCAGATCGACGCTCTACCGCTGAGCCAAACCGGTTTCGGTGGCTCTGATTTATTTTTAACGCCCCCAGAGCTACCCGCCAAATCTGCTGCCTGTGCACTTTGACCCGCTCAACAGAGGCCTCAGTTTCTTGGAAAACTCTGGGCCTTGAAGCAGAGGCTGTGTGGCTCTGGGAGTAAAACAGTCCAGGTGGAGCCATCAAGGGCTGCAGCCCTGCCCGACCTGTGGGCGTGGCCAGGGTCTGGCCTGAGGGTAGATCCCAACCAACCTCCCTCCCTCCCTCCCTCCCTCCCTCCCTCTTTCCCTTCCCTCTCTTCCAAGAGTAGAGAAGCTCAGGGGAGGAGGTGGGGAGGGTGGAAAAGGGTCTGTTATGTAGCAGCCGCCTCCTAGCGTCTGATTCTCCACTCTGAGACCTGAGTCCATGCAGAGCCGGGGCTGGCCCTGCCCTGCTCACTTGAGCTTCTGATTGGGTTAGAGCCTTGAGCCTTAAAGCAAGGAGGGCCTGGGCTCTCAGAGGAGGATTCGGCGCTTCCGCCTGGCCCACGGTGTGGGCTGCTCCCTGCCTGTGGGCTCCGGTCACACGGTGCCTTTGCCTGACGGGCAAGGGCGGGTCAGCCTGGGACGCTGACCAAGAGAGGCGTGGGTGCTGGTGTGACTGGGGGCCCCGGGCAGTTTCTTATTTCTTCTTTTTAGCTCATTTTGTGGTTAGGAGGTCTTGGGGGTTTTTAAACTGGAACTGAAACTGGCGAGAAGTACTCATTAGCATTTCTTGAATGATCTGGAAGTTGGGGGAATCTCTAAAGGTGACAGAGAGTTCCTGGGGTGTCTGCAAGCCCTGAGTCCTGAAGGCCGGTGATGGTGGGGAATGGCAGTTGGGTGCTGTTTGCTAGTCTTTTCTGACAAGTTCTGTGCCGTGGCATTTTGTCGCACAGACTAAACACGTGGTTGGATGTGACACTGGACAACAATGGGTCTGGGCTGCCTGCCACTACTTCAGCCAATTCAGCAGAGACAGGGCTGAATCATGTATGAGCGTTCATTCCAGTAATGCTGGCAGCAGGTCATCCACAGAAATCTGCTCTCTCCCCCCGCCCAACCCCCACGTCAACCCCCAATAAGCCAGCTGCTTAAGTTGGGTAGGATAAGGAAGTAGGCAAAAGGAATATGGATGGGTAGGCAAAATGGGTATTACAGGCATGGGAAGTGGGCGAAGCAGGTTGGGTGGGCCTCTATTGTTTGGGCATCTGGGTTGTTAATCTTTCCATAATAATAGGCAGTTCTTTTTTTTTCTTCTTAATATATTTTATTGATTTTTTACAGAGAGGAAGAGAGGGACAGAGAGTTAGAAACATCGATGAGAGAGAGTCATCAATCAGCTGCCTCCTGCATACTTCCTACTGGGGATATGCTCACAACCCCAAGGTACATGCCCTTGACCGGAATCGAACCAGGGACCTTTCAGTCCGCAGGCTGATGCTCTATCCACTGAGCCACACCGGTTTCGGCAATAGGCACTTCTTGAGTGAGAATGGATCTCACTCTAAGGTCTACTGCCAGGTCCAAGGTTGACTCTCAGGTCCCAGGGCGCGTACACTCCAAGCCAGGTTAGAATGCCCACTCTTTAGTTAGAACGAGACAATCAGGGTTAACAGAGCATGATTGATATTTCTTATAGCTCTATTCCCAATATTCTATTTTAGCCCCAACCGATGGGCAGAGCTGGCAGGGACCGAATTATTATTATTATTATTTTTTAATATATCTTACTGATTTTTTACAGAGAGGAAGGGAGAGGGATAGAGAGTTAGAAACATAGATGAGAGAGAAACATCTACCAGCTGCCTCCTGCACATCCCTTACCTGGGTGTGCAACCATGCCCTTGACCAGAATCGAACCTGGGACCTTTCAGTCCACAGGCCGATGCTCTAACCACTGAGCCACACCAGTTAGGGCAGGGACTGAATTATCGATGAGGAAACTGGCTCCAGAGCTGTTGAGTGCCAAGCTCAAGGTCCTCAGCTGCCTGAGGTCCCTGGGGGCTGGGAGGGAGCTCTGCTTCCTGCTCCCCTCGTCAGGTAGAGACCATGCTGCTTGCCATGTGCACTGGCAGCCTCGACTGGCTGCAGGGCCGTCTGCCCGGATGCCCACCCACCTGCCCGCTCACCCACTGTCTCTTGCAGAGCTACCTGGTTGGGTGGCCCCAGTTCCGGAAGAGCCTGTGGCTGGTGGCCTACCTTGTGGTGCTGGTCGTGTCTTTCGTGGACTGGATGGTGTCGCTGAGTCTCGTCTGCCAGGAGGTAGGTGGTGAGGTGGCTCTGGGGCGGCAGTGGGGAGCTCTGGGCAGGCTGCTCAGTGTAGCTGCTCAGGTGAACAGCTGGCGTCCTGCAGTCATCCCACCCACCGACCCAGTTCCCGGCTCCCGGCTCCCTGCTCCCAGCTCCCCGCTCCCAGCTCTGCCTGCCCTGCATGGCCCTCCCTGCATGGCCATGAGTCACCCACTGCCCAGGGAGCCTGTTCCCACCTGGTGGTGACCCTGAGGCCCGGAGAAGGCGCGAGGACCTGGGAGCATGGTCCAGGGCCCCGATTCCTGCTCCCCTCCTTTAAGCTGCTTCCTTGACTGGGTGGGTCCCCCGTGAAGCACCACCCCAGGGCCTCGCCCCAGCCACACGCCCAGAGCTCTGTGACCCCGACATGGGGGCAGACGGCCCTGACGTCTGATTGCAGCCTCTTCGCTTCCCCTCGGAACACCCAGGAGCGCTGCCCTGCGGTTGGAGGGACGGAGCTGGGAGAGCCGGTTGGTGGGGCAGTGTGCCCATCAGGGCTGGTGGGGCACACATGCCAGAGGCCCACCAGGTGGTTAAGGAGGGAGTTTCTCAGGGACTGAAGCCGGGGCGGAGGAACCGAAAGAGCAAAAAGGAGGCCCGTGGAACTCAGAACTGCAGGAATCACCCCTCCTCCGCACCCCGGGCTCTCAGAGCTGGGACCTGCCCTCTGACCTCTGGGGAGGGCACCCTGCACAGCAGGTGCTGGTGCCGCCCAGAGACTAGATGAGGTTGGTTCTGGGAGCACTGAAAGCAGGGGAGGGGCTGGCAGCCTCGGGCGTTGTAGGGACAACAGCTGGACAGAAAGGTCCCATGTCCCTCCTGCCTCCTGGCTCCCTCCAGTGCCCCCTCTGGCAGGACAGAGTGGGGAGCAGTTGATGGAGGAGAAATGCCAGCGTTGGGTCCCAGCACCCACACGCCACCTCCCACTTCCCTGTGGGAGCACCCACAGCCCACGATTTTCCCTTATAGGGTGCTGCCCTCCTTCCACAAAGGAAGAGGCCCCCCTGACCCCCAGAAGCCTCCACTGGCCCCATTTCCGGGCGCAGTCATTGCGTCCGTCATATCGGCCACTTGAATTCTGTCACCTCAGCGTGAATGGTGACCCTCCCCACCACCAGTCCTCGTATGCCGTTGGGAGGAAGATTGGCTAAGTCACACAGACGTCTGTGCTGCTGGTCGCCGGTCCTAACAGGAATCTGTAACTTCCTCCTGCGCCCACCCACGTGCTCCCAGCTGGTCTGGGCTGGTTATCACATTCGCTCTTGAGGGGCCTCAGTGCTCCATGGTCCTGCCTCTGGTAACTGGATGGCAGCCCCCCAGTCTGTCCTGGGAGATGGACCACTCACCCCGCTGGCACCAGCCCCTTTCACCCAGAGTCGTGGTGTGCCCCTGGTGGAAGCACGCCCTTCAGAGCAGACATTCCCAGCCTGCAGGCCCCGAGTTTGGGCCAGGGAGCGGAGGTGTTGCAATCTCTTTCGCCCTGAGTTCCTGAGCCTGCCTGGGGCCCAGGGCCCTCCCACAGGCTGCCTGCTTTGGGCGAGGGTCCGAGGCAGGGCTGGCGAGAGCTGTGAGCTCTGCCCTGGTTGGAAGCAGGTTGGCCTGAGGCTTGGATGGTCCTGGGTGAGGCCCGTCTGTCCAGCGTGGGCAGAGCAGCGCCCGGCAGGGGAAGGGCCGGGCAGTCTCCCGCCCACGGGGGGCCACATGGAGATCGGAGCGGGGTGTTGAGGGGCTCGGGGACACCCACGACTGTCATCCTGTCGGGAGAGCCTCTCCTGGGGAACCTGGGGTGCGTTCCCTCCTCCCCACACGTGTCCTCCGCAGCCGTCCTTGTCCCCGGTCAATGATACTGTGTCCTTTCCCACCCCCCCGGCGCTGGCCACCACCAGGAGGCGAGTGACCCTTTCTCAGCACAGTGACCCCCTCCCCTCCCCCCGGCAGAGCTTTCCCTCGGGGCCGTCTCTTAGGGCCTGACCTCTGGTTGGCGCTGGCCCAACCCCCAGGTCCGCCTGCAAACCAGGCCCGAGGTTTGTCTCCGGGGCCGGCCGGCTGGTCAGCATCGGGGCCCTCGGGGAGGCCTTGGGGCCTCTGACCTGCTTGAGCCGGTCTCACTTCCATGTCTACCTGACCTCCCCGTTCCTCCCCCAACTTGAGGCCGGGTGGGGCCGGTGCATGTGGGCTGAAGGTCACCGAGGGGCCATGGTCACGGCTCAGCGTGGCTGCCTCTCACAGGAGACCAGTCTGAGTCTGTAGCCTCGTTGGGGGCTCCTCCCAAAGCCTCAGGATGGACCCGGGCTGCAGGCTCAGGCGGTGCCTCCCACCTCCGTGAGCTCGGCTCTCCCTGCCCTGAGGTGGCCTCAGCTTGGGAAGCCCTCGGGACTGGGTTGCTGTCTGGACGAAACCGCACTCTGGTCTGTGTCTGACCACAGCCAAGGGTCAGAGACCGTGTTTGTGTGTGTGTGTGTGTGTGTGTGTGTGTGTGTGTGTAGGTGCCGGCAGCGCCTGGAGGGAAGCTGAAGGACTGTTCTGGGCCTGGATGGGAACTCCTATGCAGTGGGCCGTGGGCAGGGTGTGGGGGCGCGGGTGCCCGTGAACTGCGGGTTCCTTGGCCTTCGAGGTGCTGTGCGGGGCAAGAAGGTGCAGGGCATCCTTGCCAGGCGGAGAGCCTACTGTGCGCCAGTGCTGCGGGCCCTGGTCCTCGGGGGAGAGACTGGCAGTCCCAGGAAACACCGGTTATGGAGTGGGATCTCGGTGCCAAGGAGAGGGACCCAGAGCAGCACTGAGGAGGTGGCTCCTCCGCCGGGAGGCGGGGAGGGACAGGGACAGCCCGCTGGCTGAGCAGACGGGCTGAGGGCCGTGCCAGTGGGCTGGTGAGGGGCAGTGGGCTGGGCTGGAGGGCCCAGGCAGCCCTGGACGCCTGGGCAGGAAGGTGACAAGGCCAGGCTTCCGTTTCTAAGACAGGTCACTCGGTGGGACGTGATTTGGGCTGAGAGCCTGCATTAGAGGTAGACCTTGGGAGTCCAGTGCATAAGGTGAAGGTCACCAGACCAGAGCTCCTTGTGGGCGGGACGGCCCCGGCCAGAGCCAGGTGCTGGCCCTCAGGAAGGGGCACCACGTGTCTGCAGGGCTGGGCGCGCTGGCACAGCCAGGGCGCCTGGGCTAGGTCAGGCTGTGACCAGGCGCCGGGCCGGAAGCAGCTTTGGCGTGTGGCCGGGAGGGTCTCGGGTTTGCCCACCTCCCATGGCAGGTGCGGGGTGTGGGTGGCACTGGAAAGCCTGGCCGGGCGTTCAGTGTCCCGCTCTCTTCCAGCCCCTGCGGCTGCGCCGGCTGCTGCGGCCCTTCTTCCTGCTGCAGAACTCCTCCATGATGAAGAAGATGCTCAAGTGCATCCGGTGGTCGCTGCCGGAAATGGCCAGGTGGGTGTGCCGGGCTCGCAGGCAGGGCGGGCCCTCCTGCTCCCTGCCCTGCGGTCGGCATCCGGGGCTCCCCTTGTGGCTCCCGAGGCTGACCCTCACCTCCGGCCCCTGCTGTCCTTGGGCTCCTGGGACATGCCCCTGGGTGGTGGGTCATCCCTGCCAAAGAGGAAGGAGGCCTGGTTAGGGCAGGGCCCCGCTGGGCATGTGGCAGGCTGTGGGGCAGCGGAGGGACCAGCCCTGGGGCTGGCTGCGGGAGCTCCCTGGGTGGCTGGGTCCCTGCACCCCCACCCCATCGGGCATGCGGGCCCCTGCCCGGGGCTGAGCCCGCGCCCGTCCTTCCAGCGTGGTGCTGCTGCTGGCGCTGCACCTGTGCGTCTTCACCATGCTCGGCATGCTGCTCTTCACCGGCGAGAAGGTACCGGCCTCGGCGCTCTATCGGTTTGGTGGAGGGGCGGGCCTCTGCGAGTCTGTCTCCGGGGCACTCCGCTGGCCCGAGAAGAGGACTGCCTGCCCACCTCTCGGGCAGGGCAGTGGTGCCCGCCCACAGTCCGCTGTCTTGCTTCAGATGACCGCGCTTAGAGGAGTCCCACTGCTCCCCTGCCCGGGCCTCCTGGGCTCCGGTAGCTGTGCCCCTGCCTGGCCGCCTCTTCCCTTCTCTCCCCTCCCCTCCCCTCCCCTCCCCAGCACTGACTGGGCTTTCCTGCACCCTCCTGGGCAGGCCCCTCAGGTTGGCACTGGGGGTCAGCGGGATGGCCCCTCTCACAGCACCTGTCCGTTAGTCCAGCAGGCACCTCTCACCATGTCCCTCTTGTCCAGCCATGGGCTTTGCCTGGTCCCCTTCGTTCCTGCCTGTGCTGCTTCCGCCCCCCAGCAGCTTGTGCCTGTCCCCCGTCACCCAGCTTGCCCCTACCCCCGCACACCTGTGGTCCCGTGTGTCTGTCCTCCCTTCCTGGCCAGGCCACTGTCCGCCTCAGGGCCAGAGCTGTCCTGCATTTCTGTCAGGGGAATGTGGCCAGTGCACGGCCAGGGCTGGTCCTCACTAGCCTGTGGCAGTGTTTGGGGTTGGTGCTGAGCTGCCTACAAGGGAGACAGGCCTGTGCTCCCCCTCCCCCTCGGGGTGTGTGTGTGTGTGTGTGTGTGTGTGTGTGTGTCTGGGTGGGACCAGCTGGCACACTCAGGCCCCAGGGGCCGTGCAGTGGCCGCCCTCACTGCTCTCCTGCAGAGCCCAGGACGGTTGGGCACAGAGGGTTGCTGATTTCACGGAGGGGCCTGGGCTGAGGAGAGCGGATGCTTGGTCGTGGGTAGGAGGGTTTGGCCGTGGGTGGATGCTTGGTCGTGGGCCGGGAGCAGGCCCGCGTGGCTCCTCAGGCTGCCCCCTCTGCTCTCAGCAGGACGATGGGCAGGACAGGGAGAGGCTGATCTACTTCCGCAACCTGGCGGAGTCCCTGACCTCGCTCCTGGTGCTGCTGACCACGGCCAACAACCCTGACAGTGCGTGAGCCGCGGGCCGGGCGGGTGTGGGCCGGCCGGTGGGCAAGGCGGGGAGGCTTGGTTCCTGCGGAGCCGAGAGCCGGGGTGACCAAGGCCTCCAGCTCAGCAGGCGGCGGGGAAGCAGGGTGACCTGGATTCTCCCCTTCCGCCCTCCCTTCCTTTCTCATTTTCCTTTTTCTACCTTTTCCTTCCCTTTTTATTGTACTTTCTCGCTCCCTCCTTTTGTAACTGCTCCCCATCTCCTCTTTCTCCTCCTCTCCCGACTCCTCTGAGAAGCTAAACGCTGTGCTTTATGTGCAGTGTTCCGGGGTCCCCCGCTGGCCTCTGGGCCCCTCCATGTCCCCAGCTGTGGGCTGCGGCTCAGCCGTTGTGTGTGTGAGGCCACGGGCTGTCCCCGGCCATGGTGTCCCCTTTGGGTCGCCGATGGGGCCTGTGCCCGCGCGGGCCAGGGGTGGGCAGGACGGGAGGCTGTCACCGAGGGAGGGCGGGGCTCCCGGCCTGTGGGGATGGTCGCAGGAGCAGGCGTCAGCTCAGCCTAGGGGTGGGCATCCCTGAGGGCAGTGAGCTCCCCGTGACCGGTTTTCCTGATTTCTTTCTCAGTCATGATTCCTGCGTATTCCAAGAACCGGGCCTTTGCCATCTTCTTCATAGTTTTCACGCTGATCGGTGAGTCTGTCCCCTGTAGGAGGAGGTTCTGTCCCCTGTGACGCTCGGGGGGAGGTGTGCTGCCCGACCCTTCACCTCAGGGGGGCCCTGCCCTGCCTGCAGTCTGTGACCACGGAGACCGCGCTGGGCAGGCCGGGTGGCACATGTGCTGTCCAGATGAGGACTGCGAGTGACATGCCCAGGCCCACTTCCTGCTCTGCGATCGTCCGGGCCCTTTCTGCTGGCACCCCTGGGGTTGCTGTGCCGAGGGACCCTCTGCACCTCTGGGCACCGCCCCTGGGCCCCCACAGCGACTGCTCCTCGCTGACCGAGGCGCTTTCTTCTTGAAGGAAGCTTGTTTCTGATGAACCTGCTGACGGCCATCATCTACAATCAGTTCCGGGGCTACCTGCTGGTGAGCGAGACTGCGGCCCAGGCCAAGCAGCTTTGTGTGTGTGTGTGTGTGGGGGGGGGGGGGGGGCTTGGCTAGGTCCCCATGGGGGTAGTGTCCACAGTGGTCTCTGCACTGCCCTCTGGCTCCCTCTTGTGGATGAGCTGGAGCTGTGCCGCCTCCTGTTCCTCTGAGGGAAGCCACAAAAGATTACAGCGCCCAGGGCAACGGACTCTGGGCCTCTGTGTGGGAGAGCCAGGACCCCAGCTGCACGGAGGAAACACATGCCTTAGGGACTGGCGCAGCCCTCAGCTCCTTCTGCAGAAATGTCCTCGGAGTCTGTGCCTGTCCCGACCGGGGAGGCCCTCAGGGGCTGCGGGCTCAGGGCTGTGCTGTCCTGCTGGGCTTGGCTGGGCTGGGCTGGGCCGGCCCCTCAGAGGCACCCTCCTTGCAGAAATCTATCCAGGCCTCACTGTTCCGGAAGCGGCTGGGGACCCGGGCTGCCTACGAGGTCCTGTCCTGGATGGCCAAGGGAGAAGGCGGCCCTCAGGGGTGAGCGTGGGCTCCCTGGAGAAGCGGGGCTGCCGCTGTGGGGCCGGGGTGCTCGCTAGGGCTGGAGCTAAGCACCACTCCGCGGGCTCCCTGCGGACTTCAGTGCTCCCGCCTCTGCCGCCCGCTCGCCTGCTCACCCACCCGCCCTTCCCTTCCCACACACCTGGGCCCCAAGCTGGGTATTGGGCACAGCGGGACCGGGGTCATGTCCCCACTGCGCCCTGGCTGGAGGCTGCTCGGCAGCACCCCGCTTCCCACCTTCCCGGGGAGGGCCTGGCAGCGTCTTGGGATGTTAGCGGATGGCTGTGATGGCTGTGATGGCTGTGATGGCGGCGGTGGCTGCGGTGGCTGCGGTGGCTGCGGTGGCTGCGGTGGCTGTGATGGCTGTGATGGCTGTGATGGCGGCGGTGGCTGCGGTGGCTGCGGTGGCTGCGATGGCTGCGGTGGCTGTGATGGCTGTGTGGCCCGCGGTCGCTCCTCCTCTGGAGGCCTTGCTCTCGCCCAGGGCTGTGTGGTTCAGGCCAGAGATCGGGCGCCGGGGGGCTGAGCTAGTGAGCTCACTGGGTGTGGGTGTCTTTTCCCCACAGAGTTGGGGTGAGGGCCCAGGACCTCCTGCACGTGCTTCAGAAAGTCCAGGCCAGCAGCACCCACAAGCAGGCCGTCATGGAGGTACCAGCCCCATCACCCCCCCCCCCCCCAGCCTCCTGCCCTCCCCAGCCGTGCTCCCCCCAGTGGTGCTGGGGGCCAGCAGCCCCTGGTCAGGACGGCGTCCTCTCAGAGCAGCGGGGGCCGGACCAGCCTGGGATGGTGGGGGCTCACCCTCAGGCTCTGGCCTTGGCCCGGCTCGCCCGCCGACCTGTGCCTCCCTGCTCTGCAGCAGGTGCGTGCCCGTAGCGATGGCCTGCTGTCGGCTGACGAGTTTCAGAAGCTGTTCAGTGAGTTTGACAAAAGTCTGACGAAGGAGGTAACTGGGCCAGGGCTCCCAGGGTTAGGGGGACGTTTGCAGAGAGAGTCAGGGGCTTGACCACCCGGGTAACTCGGTGACCGGCGCCAGGACTGGCCTCCCTGTCCCTGGTTCTGGCCCCTAGGACGGTAAATGGGACAGAGAGGGTTGGCCTCAGAAAGCCAGCGAGGAACCTCCCAAAGGGCTTTCTCTGTCTCTGTGACAAACAGCCTCTTCCCCGGCTCCTTCCGAGGGGGCTCCGAGCTTGGCGAAAGCCGTGGTCTTCGGTCCTGACCGGGGCTTGAAGCCCCCCCCCCGCAGGGGCCGTGGCGGCCCGCTCAGCACCGTGTCCAGACGGCCCCCCGCACGCGTTTTTAGTGGGTTTCCTGGAGATGCTGAGGTTCCCTGAAGGGTCCGGGAGGGGCCCTTCGGGAAGGGGGTGCGGGCAGCAGGCGGCGGGGAATCTGACACCTGCTGGCCGGGCTCCGCACAGCTCTGTGCCGCGGCCGTGACGAGTGCCACCGCGGTGGCTCCCGCAGGCCGTACCGCCCCGTCCTGGAGGCGGAGTCCAGACCCAGGGGTCCGGGCTGGCTCCTCCCAAGGCCTCTCTCCTGGGTGTGTAATGGCCGTCTTCCCCTGGGCCCCCACATGCTCCCTCTGTGTGTCTGTGCCCTGACCTCTTAGGAGGACCCAGCCCTGTGGGGTTAGGGCCGCCCACTGGCCTCCTGCGTTAAATCTCTCCAGAGTGGCGGCCGCCCGCCTATGGGAACACACAGTGCTTCCTGTCCGCTTCCTGCCAGTGGCCCTCCGTCACTTCCCACCCGTTGCTGGCTCTGCGCCACGCTCTGGTAGTTACCAGCGTAGGACTTACCTGGGCTTTTGCACGTAACGCTTTCCACGTCGTGGCAAACACTGAGAGGCTTCCTCACGGGGCCAGGTGCCGCCCAGGGCACCCTGCCTCTGCGATGGCGTCCCCGGGTGAGGGGCCGCACCTGGGTTTGTGAGGAAGCCCAGGGGCTGGGTAGACGGGCAGAGGTCAGGTAGAGGGCCGCCGGGTCCCAGGAGAATGGGCACGGCCCCGTTTCTGAGCACGTGTCCCCTGCAGCACCCACCGCCGCCTGAGTACCAGTCCCCGTTCCTGCGGAGCGCCCAGTTCCTGTTCGGCCACCCCTACTTCGACTACCTGGGGAACTTCTTCGTCCTGGCGAACCTCGTGTCCATTTGTGTGAGCACCGGTGTGCCCCCCAGTGGCCCCGGGAGGGGTCTCGTCCTGGCCCTCCTCCCTCCCTCCCACTCTCCCTCCCCTCCCCGTCCCCTCTCCCGTGACGGCCCACCTTGGCCTTGCAGGTGTTCCTGGTGCAAGACGCAGGCATCCTGCCCCAAGACCGGGATGACTTCGTGCTGGGGGTGAGCTCTGAGCCGCTCGCTGTCCGCCCCGGCGGGGCCTCCGGGTCCGCTGGCGGAGGGCCATTCCAGTTCCGAGGGACTGGCGTCGGGGGATCCTCAGAGTTGGGGGTAGCAGGCCGTGGGGGGAGGCTGGCCGAGGCTGGTACAGGCCGGGAGCCAGGTGCAGGGAGGTCAGCCTAGCGGGGCAGCGGCCGAGGGAGGGTCCGAGAGAAAGTGACCCGGGGGGCGGCGGGGGCGGCGGGGGCTGGAGACCGGACGGCCAGGGGGAGGTCGGGGAGGCAGAGCTGGGACTGAACGCCAGGCACGCGGCCTTTCAGATCCTCAACTGCGTCTTTATCCTGTACTACCTGGCGGAGGTGCTGCTCAAGGTGTTCGCGCTGGGGCTGCCCGGCTACCTGTCCTACCCCAGCAACGTGTTCGACGGCCTCCTCACCGTCATCCTGCTGGTGAGTCCGCCGGCGCCTCCCGGGTGGGCAGTGGGCGGTGGGCGCGCACAGCGGCTCTGCGCTGGGGGCCCGAGGGCCACGGTCCTGGGCTCCTGCCTCCAGGGACCGTGGGGCTGATTCCCCAGCAAGACGCTGGGTGGGCGTCGGATGGGGCCGAGGAGGGTCTGCAGTGTCTGAGCGTGGGGGGGTCAGGCCGCCTCTCCTGGGGAGGCCCAGATGGACCCCACAGACCCCTTCTCCCTGGTTACCCCGCCCCAGGCACAGCCTCCGATGCCACTCAGCACAGTGAGACGGTGTGGGCGGCGGAGGGGGAGGTCTCAGGCTCCGGACACTTTTCCCCAGAGCCCCCAGGGGTGGGGGTCGCCCGTGGGTCACAGCGACGTCAGTGCGACTCGTGCTCCTGTGACTGCTGAGAGCCGTGGGCCCCCCGAGACAGTGGGGGTTCATCCAGCCCGTCTCTGACCACGTGGCTTCTCCCCGGCCGCCCTCCCGAGGGCGCCCGCTCCGGAGGCCACGGTGTCTGTCTTTCTCCGCCTCAGGAAGTCCCAGCACGTGGACCGAGCCCACGGGGACAGGTCCCAGGTCTGTCCTCCCCGAAGGCCCGTGGGGCGGCCTGGCTGGGCTGCGAGGTCCCCCGAGAGCCGCCGGTGAGCTGGCTGTAGCGATGCTGTCTTTTCTTTTGTGATTAAAGGTTCTGGAGATCTCAACTCTGGCTGTGTACCGATTCCCACACCCAGGCTGGTATGTGACTGGAGAACCGAGGGCGCTACAGCAACCGCCCGGCCAGCACCGGGAAGGGTGGCCCCGTCCGGCTAGGACGGAGGGCGAGGCGCCCGGTTGTTAGGACAGGGGCTCCGGTCCCGCGCCCCGGGGGCCTCGCTCGTGCTGACCCGTCAGGACGGCGGCAGGAGGCTGTGGGTGCCCTTTAATGCGGTGGCCCAGCCCCGGCACCGGCGGACGGGGGTGTGGCCCTGGGGTGCTGGGCCGGAGCAGAGAGGCCCCAGGTCAGGGCTGGGTGACGTGGGCACTAGCGTTGGGCTGCAGCCCTCCTCTGGCCTGGCAGGCCTGTGCCCGGGGCTGGGCAAAGGCTGCCTCTCCCTATGGCGACGGGCCTGGGCGCGCCGCTCTCTCGCTGCTGTTTGAGCCCCAGGCCCCCGGCTCCGGTCACACAGAGGGATGATGGCTGGCTGTTCAGGGTCAGCTCCGTGGCAGCCGCTGGGCAGGGTTGATCTCGGAAGTCCGCTGGGTGGGCGCTGTCCCTTGGAGGCTGAGGGGCTGGGCCCAGGGGGACATGGGCTTCCTGGGGGCCAGCTCTCCTTGTGTCTGAAGTGCATGTTTGAAAGTTACAGGCCTGACATCCCGGTGAGAGTGGGTTTACATTTAAATAGAAATGAGAGCGTGGTGAGGCCACCAGGGACACCAAGGGTCGGATGGAGATGGGACTGGCTCCGGGGCCCGGAGGTGGGTCAGGCTAGGGCATGTGGTTAAGGCTCAGGGATAAGGTCAGCGGTTGGTGGCAAGGGAGACGGTCAGGAGACAGTGTGGAGATGGAGTCAGGAGAGGGGGTCGGAGGCAGGGCCGGAATAGGATGTGTGATTAGGGGTTAGGGTAGAGTTGGGACAGGGTCAGATCAGGAGACAGGGTCAGGTGATAGGTCAAGGTCAGGGGCAGGATATAGGGTCAAAGCAAGGGGTCAGGAAATCGGCTGCATGGTTAGGAGGGGTCGGCAGTAGGGTGTGAATATGGGTTGGGGGTATGGGATGGAGTCAGGGGCCAAGTCTCCCAGTTCTGCGGGACCTGAGCTGGGTGTCCGGGTTCTCAGTGGTGTCCGATGTCAGACGGAGGGTTAGCTGGCCGGGCGCCAGGCAGGGAGTGCTGTGGAAGGTTCGTGACCACTCTGCCCTCCGTCTCGGTGAGGGTTTCTGTCTGGAGCCCGAGGCCGGGCAAGTTCTCATTGCTCCTCCTCTCTCTCTCTGCTCCCCCTCCCTCTCTCTGCTCCCCTCCCTCTCTCTGCTCCCCCTCCCTCTCTCTGCTCCCCTCCCTCTCTCTGTTTCCCCTCCCTCTCTCTGCTCCCTCCCTCCCTCTGCTCCCCTCCCTCTCTCTGCTCCCCTCCCTCTCTGCTCTCTTCCCTCCCTCCGCTCCCCTCCCTCTCTGCTCCCTTCCCTCCCTCTGCTCCCCTCCCTCTCTGCTCTCTTCCCTCCCTCCGCTCCCCTCCCTCCCTCCGCTCCCCTCCCTCTCTGCTCCCTCCCTCCCTCTGCTCCCCTCCCTCTCTGCTCTCTTCCCTCCCTCCGCTCCCCCTCCCTCTGTCCGCTCCCCCTCCCTCTGTCCGCTCCCCCTCCTTTCTGCTCCCCTCCCTCCCTCTGCTCCCCTCACTCTCTGCATCTCTCTTTCTCCGTTTAAACCGAGTGTCCTGTCTTCTCGGTGCTGGTGTTCTGGGCCTCTCCCAACCCGTCTGCCCGTGTCTCCGCAGGAAGCCGGAGATGCGGGGGCTGCTGTCGCTGTGGGACATGGTGCGCCTGGTGAACATGCTCATCGTGTTCCGGTTCCTGCGCATCATCCCCAGCATGAAGGTGCGTGGCGCTGCCGCCCCCCTCGCTGCCCCGTCCTGCTCACTCTGCCCTCGTGCCCTGGAGAGGGGGGGCCCGGGCAGGGAGGGCCCAGACCCTGGGTGGGCCCCCGCCCCTCGCCTGGCAGCACCCGGGGGAGGGGGCCTGGGTGAGGCTCTCGGCCAGTTGCAGGGGCGTGCCCAGCTCTTGGGGCCCCTGGCAGTGAGGGCAGGCGGAGCGCGGGGACCACCTGCTCCAGGGCCTGAGGTTTCTGGGGGGCTCCTGGGGGGGCTCCTGGGGGGCTCCTTGGGGGACTCCTGGTCACGGCAGGCTTGACCGCAGCGCTCACTTCCAGGACTCCGAATGCAAGGAGGGGGCTTGTGAGCAGCTCCGAGCCTCCCACCGGGAGGGGTACCATCAGCCTGGAGGGGTGGGAGAGGTGGTCAGCGGCCGGGCCCAGCCCAGCCCAGCCCGGAAGTGAGGTTACTGCTCCGCCTGTTTTCCCAGGGACATTCAGGGGAAGAGCCATGGGGACACCAGTCCTTCCTGTGTGTCCGGGGCCTTCCTCGCACACCGGGGCTCTCCCTGAGGGCAGTTCGGGGACCTGGGTGCAGGTGGGGCTGCTGCCCGAAGTCTCTGTGCATGGCACACAGGCATATGTGGTCACATGTGCCTGTGAGCACACAAATACCCACACAAGTCATGACCACACACACGACACTAGCCCACACATTCACACATGTAACCACACACATGTAACAAACCACACAATGTAACCAGATACATAAACACACACAATGGCATGATTATATACACGTCATCACAGGCATAATTGTATAGACACACACACACACAGCAATGCATGTGCACATAACTAACACAATTACACACAACACATGCAATCATACACCTTTACCCTATACACAAATACAACTATATGCATATACACACAAGCCCCGCACACGCGCACATACGCACACATGTGCACACAGTCATCACACGTGCGCATGGGCACTGATTTCCCTCTGCCAGCATCCAGCTCTGATATTCTAATGCGTCAGCTGGGAAATGGGCGCAGGTTTGTGTGGGTGGGGAGCAGCCCTGTCGCCAGGGTTCCTGGCTGCGTCTCCGAGGCCCGTTTCCCAGACTTGGTCCAGGCCAGGGGAGCTGCCCGGCCTCAGCGGTGGAGGGCAGCATGGTCTGGCCTGAATGCGGGCCCAGACCCAAGGCTGGTGGGCAAGGTGTCTGGATGTGTGGGGGCGAGTGGGTGCCTATGGGTGGCTAGGGTGTACAGCTGTGTGTGTGTGTGTGTGTGTGTGTGTAGGGGTGGCTGTGGGGTGTGTGCACGGGTGTGTGTATGCATGTGTGAGTGCATGTAGGGGTGACGGGTGTGTGCACGGTGTGTGTGTGTGTGTGTGTGTGCGTGTGTGTGTGTGTGTGGTGTGCACAGGTGTGTGGGTTGGTGCTAATTCACCTGCCCTTGCAGAGGGAGGGTGATGGGCAGGGTTGGCGCCACCTAGTGAGGCCAGGAGGAATAGTGGTTCTGCTCTCCTTGTCCTCAGCTGATGGCCGTGGTGGCCAGCACCATCCTGGGCCTGATCAGAAACATGCGGGCTTTCGGCGGGATCCTGGTGGTGAGTCTGGCCGCCATGTGGGCCTGGGTGGGGTGGTCACGCAGTGGGAGTGGGGCTGTGGGCTGGGCAAGCTGGGGGGAGGGGGAGCGGGAAGCCAGAGCGTCCCCTTCGTGCAGACAGCTTTTCCGTCACTTTCCAGTCCCGCTGGCCCAGCCGGGTCAGGGCGTGAGCAGGCGGGCCTGGTGCTGCTCCAGGCACCAGCCCGGGGGCCGCACACTCGGTGGCAGTGAGGAGGCAGAGCCTGCTGCGGCCTTTTGTCCTTTATTTTGAACAACAACTTGGGGTTGGGAGCCCTGGGGGAGCCCTGAGGGAGCCCAGGCCCTCCAGGAAGCTAGAAATAGGATCTGGGCTCAGGCCCTGCCCCAGACCCCGATTTGCACATTGGAGGAAACTGAGGCACAGGAGGGGGGCAGGGTTAGCCCAGAGTGTGGAGCCCTCCCCAATCCCCCAGCATCTTCTGGATAGGCCAGGGCTCTGGCAGCAGCCCCTCTCCGAGGCTGCTGGGGGGTGCTCCTTAGACACCCCCTGGTGGCCGTGGGAAGCATGGTGGGACTCTGTCCTGGAGAGGCCTGGCCTTCTCCTTCCCTAGGCCCAGCTCCTCCCAGGCCCAGTCTCTCCCCCACTCCCCGTGCCCCTCCTCCGCCCCTCCCGGGGCCCAGCTCCTCCCCGGGCCCAGCTCCTCCCTGGGCCCAGCTCCTCCCCGGGCCCAGCTCCTCCCCGGGGCCCAGCTCCTCCCCGGGCCCAGCTCCTCCTCCCAGGCCCAGCTCCCCCCGGGCCCAGCTCCTCCTCCCAGGCCAGCTCCCCCCGGGCCCAGCTCCTCCCCGGACCCAGGTCCTCCTGGGCCCAGCTCCTCCCTGGGCCCAGCTCCCCCCAGGCCCAGCTCCTCCCCGGGCCCAGCTCCTCCTCCCAGGCCCAGCTCCTCCCCGGGCCCAGCTCCTCCCCGGACCCAGGTCCTCCTGGGCCCAGCTCCCCCCGGGCCCAGCTTCCCCCGGGCCCAGCTCCTCCTCCCAGGCCCAGCTCCTCCCTGGGCCCAGCTCCCCCCGGGCCCAGCTCCTCCCCGGGCCCAGGTCCTCCCGGGCCCAGCTCCCCCCCGGGCCCAGCTCCTCCCCGGGCCCAGCTCCTCCTCCCAGGCCCAGCTCCTCCCCGGGCCCAACTCCTCCCCGGACCCAGGTCCTCCTGGGTCCAGCTCCCCCCGGGCCCAGCTTCCCCCGGGCCCAGCCCCTCCCCCCAGGCCCAGCTCCTCCCTGGGCCCAGCTCCCCCCGGGCCCAGCTCCTCCCAGGGCCCAGGTCCTCCCGGCCCAGCTCCCCCCAGGCCCAGCTCCTCCTCCCAGGCCCAGCTCCCCCCGGGCCCAGCTCCTCCCAGGCCCAGCTCCCCCCAGGCCCAGCTCCCCCCGGGCCCAGCTCCTCCTCCCAGGCCCAGCTCCCCCCGGGCCCAGCTCCCCCCCAGGCCCAGCTCCTCCTCCCAGGCCCAGCTCCTCCCCGGGCCCAGCTCCTCCTCCCAGGCCCAGCTCCCCCCGGGCCCAGCTCCTCCTCCCAGGCCCAGCTCCCCCCAGGCCCAGCTCCCCCCGGGCCCAGCTCCTCCTCCCAGGCCCAGCTCCCCCCGGGCCCAGCTCCTCCCCAGGCCCAGCTCCTCCTCCCAGGCCCAGCTCCTCCCCGGGCCCAGCTCCTCCCTGGGCCCTGCTCCCCCCGGGCCAAGCTCCCCCCGGGCCCAGCTCCTCCCCGGGCCCAGGTCCTCCCGGCCCAGCTCCCCCCGGGCCCAGCTCCTCCTCCCAGGCCCAGCTCCCCCCGGGCCTCTGGGGCAGGTGGTGGCCGGAGGGGGTGTCTGGGAGTAGAGACAAGTATTGTGGTGTTGTGGGGGGCTAGCAGTGCCCATGGTTGGGGGCCGTGGCCGGCTGGGAACCTTCACAGCCCGCCTGGCTCTGTCTGTGGGGGTTGCCCCGCTGACCGGGCCCTGCCTCCGTAGGTGGTGTACTACGTCTTTGCCATCGTTGGCATCAACCTGTTCCAGGGAGTCATTGTGGCTCCTGGGAACAACAGGTGAGGTGGGGCCTACAGGCGCCAAAGGAGCGCTGGGGGTGGGGGGGTGAGGAGCCGGACAGACATAAGGACAGGGTGAGGCCTCGGCAGCGTGGGGGTCGGCTCTCCAAGACGAGGCTCCTGCTCTTCCTCTTTCTTCCCTGTCCCCTGCCCTCCCTCCCCTGGGCCCTGGCCTGGAGCCTGTGCTGACTGTTCCATATCTGCTCAGAGCAGCCCTCCCAACCCCAGCTGGACTCTGAGCCCCTCCACTCAGCTCCCCTTGGCTCCCCCCAGACTCCCCCAGCCCCCAGGCCGGAGCTGGCAGCGGTGTGAGTGCAGAGCTGACTGCTGCCAGGAGCTTCCAGAAGCTTCCTGCTGGCCACAGGCCTTGCCTCCCAGCGGCCCTCACCGACCCTCTGGAGGTCAGGGGCATTTCTTCTGCCTGTTTCTGGGGGCCCAGGGGGGTTCCAGCTGTGCAGGGCTAAGGCGGCGTAGGGCACACCTGGTGTGCGTGTCCTACACCCGCCCTGACCCGCCTCGCTGTGTCCCAGCCTGGCCCCTAACGGCTCAGCGCCCTGCGGCAGCTACGAGCAGCTGGACTACTGGGCCAACAACTTCGACGACTTCGCGGTGAGTCCCTCCCCCCGCGCCCGGGACCCCACCCCCTGCCTCCCGCAGCCCCCGGACCGTGCCCCGTCTGCTGCCCGCAGGCTGCCCTGGTCACGCTGTGGAACGTGATGGTCGTGAACAACTGGCAGGTGTTCCTGGACGCCTATCAGCGCTACTCGGGCCCGTGAGTGACCCGCCCGGCTCCCGGGCTCCCGCCCGGCTCCCGCCCTTCCTCCTGTGCCCTCGCCCGGGGCTCTGGGTGGCACTTGGCATCTCTGGGGATGTGTGGGAGCAGCACAGGCCCTGGGGGCTCCTTGGGTGCCTGGTTGTCATCTGAGGGGCCTGGTGGGCGTCTGGGGGGGAGCCTGGAGCACAGCTCAGCCCCGGGCATGGTCCTGGTCCTGGTCCTGGTCCCAGCCAGGGCTCCACCTCCTGCTGGCCCTGCCGCCTTGGGCAGCTCGTTGTCTCAGCTTCTGGTCATCTCTAAAGCGGGAGGACGCCGCGGGGTTACCGGACAGGACCAGGGAGAGCTGTCCCCAAAGCGTGGGTCCGACCGGCAGCGGGGTCTGCGCGCGCCACCCCCCCCCCCTCCCCCGTGGCCTCGCTGTGCTCACGACGGGCCCTGCGTGTGCCTCCTCCTGGTCCTCGCAGGTGGTCCAAGATCTACTTCGTGTTGTGGTGGCTGGTGTCGTCTGTCATCTGGATCAACCTGTTTCTGGCTCTGATTCTGGAGGTGCAGGAGAGTCCCTGGGGGTTTGGGCGGCCCCGGCTCCGTGCAGCTCCCCCGTTGCTGGGAGGGTCTGGGAACAGCCCTGACATTTGACCTGAGGGTGTCCTCAGGCCCCAGGGCCCTGGGGGCATGTGGCTCCCAGGAGCTGGTGGCCTTGCAGGCCCTGGACCCGGGCTTCCCGTGTCCCTGCAGTAGACACCGGGCGGGGGTGGGAGGTAGGGAGGTGAGGCTGGTTTCACACAGGGCCGGCACCCACTCGCCTCCCTCCACCCTCCCACTCCCCAGAACTTCCTTCACAAGTGGGACCGCCGAGGCGACCTGCAGTCCCTCTCCGGGGACGAGATAACCACAGTGGACCTCTTGTTCAGGTGCGCAGGTGGCGAGGAGGGAGGCAGGGGGTGCTGGGCAGGCGGCCTGTGACAGCGACACTCCCCACCAGCCCCGGCTCCTGGCCTCCCTCTTGCGGAGCTCGACCAGGGGTCGGCGTCGGGTGCGAGTGTAGAGCTGCCTGCTGCCGGGAGCTTCAAGAAGTTCCCGGGGCTGGGGGTCGGGGTCGGGGTCGGGGTCGGGGCCCAGGATTGGGGTCCGTTGCTTCCGCTGCTCCTGCCGCCCGGCCGTTCTGTCCTGTTCTCCGTTGAGCGTATTCGTGGGAACATCCTGCGGGTGCTCCTGTGATTCTGGGGATGGACGTGGTCAGGGACCCCTTGGTTCCGCTCCTGGTGGAGAGAGGTGACGGTCTCCCTCGCGGGCCTTGGCTGCCTTGCCTCAGTGGTGCTCTGTGCCGCCCGCCCAGCAGCCCACCGGGGCCTTTAAGAGCGCCGTACAAACGCCCCGCAGATGTGCCGGGTCCCGGGTCCCGTCCTCCCACGTCCCCTGTGCACGTGTGTGAGGCTGTCCCACGCAGGGCTGGCCCCGGACTGCACGCTCGCTGTTCGCGCACACCTCCTCCCGATCCCGCAGGGAGGTCCTGGAGGAGCCGACGGAGGAGGAGCTGATGGCGAAGCTGCGGCATCACCCCCACCTGCAGCTGTGCAGGTGACGTCTGTGTGCCTTCCTGGCTGGGCGGATGGCGATGTGGCCTGGGCGCCAGCGCGGGTCCCGGGGAGAGGCCGCTGCGGCCCGGAGGAGAGACAGAGCCACTCGGCCCACCGGGGCTGCGACAGAACCCACAGAACCGAGGCCCCGTGCGCTGCGAGCGGACACGGCAGCTTCTGTCTGCAGCATCGCGGCTCGGTCGGTGCGGCAGCAGCGTCCATGCCACGCCGCGCCACGCCGTGCCACGCCGCCCCACGCTGTGCCACGCTGTGCCACGCCGCGCCACGCCGTGCCACGCCGCCCCACGCTGTGCCACGCTGTGCCACGCCGCGTTATATGAGCTGCTTTTACTTGTCTCAGTGCGGGAAGAGGGTGACTCCACAGGACCCTGAGAGGGTCTGAGAGCAAGAAGCAGGGCCTCCTCCTGGCCCTGCGGTTTCCGTGGTGCCTTTGCTGCCGGCGGCCTTCAGGGACGAGAGGCCCCGTGGGCCGCACAGGCCGGCCGGCGGCTTCCCAGGCCCGTCGGCGTGGACGCTGCTGGTTTCACATGCAGCGAGCCGTGGCTGTTGCATTATTGTACGCGTTCCATGACTGTGACTGGGTGTTTCCTTACGGGTCAGAATGCCAATATCACTACGTCTTACAAAGAACGAGGTGTCGTCTTTCCCGCCATACGGCCGCCCCGCTCCTCCGGCCCTGTGAGCTGTGCACGGCACAGGGTGCCCCGTGGCCGGGGGCTGTCCACCCGCGGCAGGGGCCGCCTTCCTCTAATTCGCATAAAGGCGTGTAGAAGCCTGGAGAGGTCCTACTGTGTGTGCTCGGTGTGGCAGGAGGGGGCCGGAGGAGTGAGCAGAATGGGGAAGGCCATGTTGCCGTGTGACCCACCACAGATCCAGATGGCAAGTGGTTCCCTTGTGAACTGCCGGTCGGTGATTGGCGGTCGCTCCCGGAGGCCTCTGTTGGGGACCGAATCTCCGAGGAAAGCATTGCTGAGATGGATTAGTGATGTCTGCTGAGGGCCAGGCAGTGGCCACGAGGGCACAGGTGCTGACCGCCTGGGAAGGGACACCAGTCTCCTGTCTGGGCAACGGGATGAGAGGAAAGTTTAACCAAAAAAGTAACTTCTGAGACGTCACGAACCCCAGTGCTCGAGTTTGTAAACACTGAGGATGGTTTACATTAGGGGTGTCAAACTCAATCAGAGAAGGGGCCAAAATCTAAAATGCAGCCTAAATCGCGGGCCGAATGGTTTACTGAACAGTCATAAACTGTCATTGTGATGGAAACGCAGCGGAGTGCAGTGATGACAGCGCGGTGCGGGCCACATTGCAAGGCCTGGCGGGACGGATTTGGCCCGCGGGCCTTGTGTTTGACACATGTGGTTTACATGCTCTATTTTTTTTAAAAAAATATATTTTATTGATTTTACACAGAGAGGAATTGAGAAGGACAGAGAGTTAGAAACGCTGATGAGAGAAGCATCAACCAGCTGCCTCTTGCACAGCCCCCACTGGGGATGTGCCCGCAACCAAGGTACATGCCCTTGACCGGAATCGAACCCGGGACCTTTCAGTCCACAGGCTGACGCTCTATCCACTGAGCCAAACACGCTGTACTTTCTGGTCCTGGAGTTGATCTGAAATCCCGGGCATTTTCCTGAAATCCCTCAGGGTTGGGGGACCTTTGGGGGCTGTGGGGACACTCCCAGCCCGGGCCCCACTGCAGCTGCCTCTCCGGAAGGCAGGTTTGGGGTGGGAGAACGTCCTGGAGCCGCGGGCCAGAAGCCCACATCCACCTGGCCCTGCAGGGCCTGCGTCTCGGTCATGGGGGAGGCCCCCTGCACTGCTGCATTGCTGGCTTTCCACACACTGCTCGCTCCTCCCCGCCCTGGTCCCTACACATCTCCTACCCGTCTCCACCCCAGGTCTCAGCGCCACCTAGTGGCGGGATCGGGGTCTGTGTGCCTCATTTTTAATGCAACTGGACTCCGGGACCCCAGGACAGCTCATGGCTTTTCCCAGGCCAGCTAGCCGCAGGCTGCCAGTGTCCGGCTGTGACCCTGGCCCAGCGTCTGGGCTGCAGGCTGAGCAGGCACCGCTAGTGGGATGTTCTGTGCAGGTGCCAGAGCCGCACGGCGCGTCCACCCGCCCCGCTTTACGTCCTGTCACAGAGAAGTCTCCCTGACGTTTACCGTCGGAGCAGGTGACTCTGGGTGATCTGTGTGGGCCCAGGGGGACAGGCTGGTTGGAGGGGCTGGCTCCGCCCTCGGCGTGGTCATCCTGGTGCCTGCTGACTGTGCGCAGGGTCCTGGCACTCTGAGGGGCTCCCTCTGCCAGTTTCCGAGGTGCCAGCCTCTGAGCCTTTGTTCCGGTGAGAACTGTGGCTGGACGGAGCTCGGGTGGCGTGGCTGCGGGCGTGGGCGCGGGCCGCTGGGTGGCCCTGTCCACAGAGCTTTGTGTCCCCGCCCCCGCCCAGGCCACCTCGCGGCACAGGAGGAGGTCTGCTGGTGAAGGGCATGTGTTCGGCCTCAGCCGTGGTTTCCCTTGGCTCTGGCCTGGCATCAGCGGCCAAAGTCAGGGACCCCTGGGCTGGGGTCGCTGCCCCGACAGAGCAGAGGCAGGAGGACCCCCGGGGCCTTCAGTGTAAAAGGCAAACTTGGAAGCCCTTCACAGACCACGCACGTACAGAAAGGAAAATGCTGGTAAACTCAGGACACTTAAGAACTTTCTTTAAAAGGCACCGCACACAGGCACGCCACCGCCTGGGAAAACGTGCCTGTAGCAGGGATAACTGAGTAAGGACCCATGTCTGGGCCATGCGCAAAGCTCCTCAAATTAGCGAGAAAAATGACAAACCAATAGAAAACGGGCGTGCACGGGTTTTTCACAGAGAAGCCGACACGGGCCGTAGTCACGTGAAAAGGCGTGCACCCTCGCCGGCGATCCGAGACACGCAGGCCAGGCCACGCTGGTGTGTTCACGGCCTTAGCAGGTCTGGCCGTCGGAGGCGCTGGAACTCGCAGATGTGCTTGGAGGACGTTTAACGGGCATAGCCTCTTGGGAAAGTAGTTTGGCATCCTTCATGGTCATTGGGCATGACACCTGGAGGTATTCTGCTGGGCACACACCCACGGGGACCAGAGGGTGGGATGCCCAGGGAGCAATGCGAGTGCCAGCAGCAGCCGGGCACACCCTGAACCTCCTCCCCAGAGTGCTCACGCCGAGGAGCTTGACGCACACCGGGGAGTATCCCACACCGCTGAGCGCGGCCCCCCCGCCCCCCGGCCTCAAAGAGCTGCGTGAGGGAACCTCGGAGGCACAATGCGGAGAGAGCAAAGCAAGCCCCGGGAGACTCCGCGCAGAAAGGCAGCATTTATGCAAAATCCGAACCAAAGTTAACTAAGTGCCTTCGGGGCGGGCACCCATTGGCGATGCAGTCACAGCTCGAGGGCCCGGAGCCTGCAGTCCCGCGGAGGGGCCGCCTCCTGGGGGCGGCAGGACCGGGGGAAGGACCGTGGTCACACGGTGCCCGTTCTGGCCGCGTGGTCATCGTGTTAAGAACGTTGTGACGTAGGTTTATGTCACCTGTTTCTTTTGTACATGCCAACTATTAACTGTAGAAGGAGGGAGGGGCAGGTGGGAGGAGGAATTGAGGACAAGGCGCTGGGGCAGCCCCTCCGAGGAATTTTCCTGCAAAGGAGAGCGGTGGACGGGTGACTGCGGGCGGGGCATGGGGTCAGGAGCCTTGGGTTACGCACCACATGGGGAGCTGTGGGGACCGCGGGGGGAGGCAGGCCCAGGAAGCAGGGAGCACTCCCGGGGGGGGCGGGCCCGAGGAGTCGCTGGAGCCTTGGTGTTAGTGGACGGGGGCCATGGATGGTGGCAGGAGGCGCAGAGTCGAGGGCTGGGCCAGAGCTGCCACGGGTCAGGGTCTGCATGAGGGAGCCCAGTGTCCCTGAGGCCCCTCCGGGGCTCCCTCCCACACGCTGCCCAGGCCCTGGCAGCTGGGCGGGGGCCAGGCCGGGGCCCAGTCTGTCGCTGGAACCTCAGTGCAGCCCCGCTGAGCGGGCTGGGCTTTTCATGTGGTCTCCTCCGCTCGGCACAGCAGGGAGGGCCCTGCCTCTCACCAGCGCAGCCCGGGTTTGGTTTCCTGCCCCGGAGATAATTGCTGGTTCCTATGAAGAGGTTAGACAATTCCTCGCTGTAAAAAAGAGTGGGCAGCAGGCACACCGCACTGCTCTTAGCATGGCAGAAGGGGGCGTGGGGCTCAGGCGCCCGCACATCAAAGTGGCCAGCAGGCTCTGCGGGCAGCGCGCCCCCGCCCCCTGATCGCGGTGGGGGCCGAGGTGTTCCGGTAACACAATCGGGGCCACCCGGGGTGGTGGGCCCACACCTGCGGGCCTGGGTGCCCCCTGCCGCCTGGGACCCACGTCAGCGGCTCATCTGCATTGGGGCCTTGGCAACACCTGTCGGCAGGTGAGGCAGACCTGCCTCGCCTCCCTCTGGGGCCTTTCGTCTCCCTCACAGACCTGGGTGGGTAGGAACCACCGACGCCGGAATCCACAGCCAGGGGACCGTTCTCTAGCTGCATGCATCAGGCCAGCGGCCCAATTGCATTGTGGGGAGAGGCAGGCACACTAACAAGGGCTCAGAGAGAGCATGGATGGGGCCCCCGCCTCTGGGGGGCCCGGCCCAGCCCCGTCCAGCAGTAGCGCTTCCCTCGGCTGCGCCCCTCGGCCTGCCCTGCTCAGCAGGGGCGTTTCTGCCCCCTCTGCCCCAGGGCCTGGGTGCGGTGTGTGCAGCTGCACCGAGAGGGTCTGAGGGGGAGACTGTGGAACAGGACGCTCATCGCTCGAGCACGCGCTCTGCAGACACGGACCGGCTCCTCTGCCGGCCAGGGCGGTGCAGTGGGATGGACGGGAAAGGCCGGGCCGGCGGAGGGGCGAGGGGCTGCCCACACGCCCAGGACCCGCTGCTGCCGCAGCCAGCGCGGGGCTTCCCGGCAGCCTTTGGGAAAAGGGAAGAGGTTTCCGTGGAGGAGGCGTGGGCTGCTTGTCGGTGAGCTGGGCCCCACAGGGGCCCGGGAGGCCGGCAGACTTCCTGGCGGAGGCACGTCTTCCGGGAAGTGGGCCGGGACCCGCCGCGGTCTCCCCAGCCCCGGTCTCTCCATCATCGGCCTGTTTTGAAGGCTCCTCGTGGGGAACCGACGAAGTGAAGGAGCTAAAGCGGCATCTAGTCTGCAGAGTAGCGGACCCGGAGGTTGTCGGCATTTTATTTCCCCCACAGGCACCCTCGGGGGAGGGATAGTGCAGTGATGAGCAGCAGAAATGGCAGCCACGTGTTTGAATGCCTGCTCTCTGCAGGATATTGGCCTGTGCCACCCCACAGGGGCCACTGGCGTGGCAGCACGGACCGGTGGAGAAACCGAGGCACAGAGAGGTTGAGACACAGCTGCCATGGCATGGCTGTCCCTCCCGGCCCAGCCTTTGCTCTGGTTCCATCAGACACACGGGAAGATCCTGGTGGTCCCGGGGGGTCCCTGTGGCCCCACAGAAGGTGGTAGGTGGCAGGAATGATGTGCTTCAGGGGGCAGGCGGGGCTCCTGGTGACTGTCCCCCGTCTTAGCCCGGGGCACCTGGTGTCCTCGGCGGGGTCTGGGCCCCACCTGCCATGACCTTGTTTGGAAAAGGAGGTGGGTCAGTGGGGGGCTGGAAGAATGTCCCCGAGAAAGCCAAGGGGCCCACTGGTGTGTGCTCTGCCTCAGACACGGGGCTCAGTGCTGGCCCGGTGTGCTCTGCCTCAGACACGGGGCTCAGTGCTGGCCTGGTGTGCTCTGCCTCAGACACAGGGCTCAGTGCCGGCATGCCTGCAGGCGCAGCCTGTGCCCTTCTCTCTGCTGCCCTTAGTTCCCTGGGGGGTGAGAAGGACCGGAAGTGACCTACCTCACGGGGTTTTGGGACATAAAGAGGGTGAGGCGAGTTACAGCGCTGTGTGTCACGCCAGGCACTTCCTCATGCGGCTGCTGTCCCTGAGCCTGGACATGGGCAGAGGAAGGAGTCTGTCCCTGCCGCGCTCCCAGGTGACAGCCCCTGGGTGCTGCTGCCCTCACCCGGCACCTGGCAGGCAGGCACTGCCAGGGTGCGGGCCAGCCTCTCCCTCCTGGGCACCGCCTCTCGGGTCTGCAC